TTGTCCGATCCTAACAAACCATACATCAATGGAAAGCTTATTTATTCAGCTTCCAGATGATGTATAAATCTCAATTTAAAAAATTTTGACCCTTATGACTGGTTTTGCGGTTCAGGGTCACATATACGGTGTGGAATGTGGCTGTATGTTGATCTGCAGGTGCTGACTGAAGATGTGTGTTTGTGGTGCAGGTGGGTTTCGGGCTGGAGCACGTGTCCCGTGAGCAGATCCAGGAGGTGGAGGAGGATCTGGACGAGCTCTATGACAGTCTGGAGATGTACAACCCCAGCGACAGCGGGCCGGAGATGGAGGAGACCGACAGCATCCTCAGCACTCCCAAACCCAAGCTCAGGTCACTGTCTGTCTGCGGCGCCCTCTGCTGCTCACCTCCACACTCTACCGCTGTTTACTGAGACACTCGACAGATTCAGTCCTGCATTTCAGCCCGGGCCCGACTTTTTTACACCCCTCAGGGTGGGCTTCGGGCCTGTTTTAGGCTTCTCCTAATTTTTATATTTTAGACATCCATCAATGTGTGATGGAAAAAAAATTGCCGCGCTGATGGAAACAACACGAGACCGTGCTGCCAGAGCTCTGTTTAGTAGCTGAACAATTCAAGCGCACGCAATAGGCTAAAGCTTGCCGCAAAGCACCGGCAAACGTAATTACCATGAATATGTCAGGGGGAAATAGTAAGGAGATATTTGAATTATTTATTTCGTTAAGTGGTTCTATAGATATGTTTATCATGTCTGTGAGGCAAGTATTCGCTGAGTTTCAGTTCATTTTTGTGAAGCACCCCTGTTCAAGACCGAGACGGCAGAAAGCGCATCATGTGTGTTTTCTTTATTTTATAAAAGCACAACGTTTTGTTGATATTCTGAGTGCACACAAATACAAGTAGACCCTTTACAGTTCCGAATGATGTATTACTCTTACCTCTATGAGCAAAAATGATGGCGTAGGCTATTTTAAGTTGTTTCCACTGAAAAAAAAATGCAAGTGATCGCGCTGGCACTTCCATGTCCTGCAAAGCGCGCTTTAGGTTCCACTTTCTGCGCAAACTTGGATATAGCGCATATTTATTATAGTGCAGGTTTAACGTTCAAACCATAGATTGTATAAAAACATGGACGTAGTGTCCCCCACGTGACGTCACCTGTAGAGTTCCGAAGAGCATTTTTGAAGCTCAAAGTGGGCGGAGGTGGCCGTCGCCATCTTTGCAACGCGTCACTCCCGGATAATCGAAAATGGGCAAAGAGGCGGGAGCAGGTTGCTGAAACCACGTCCCCCTAGCTCGACGGCAGTGTTAGCAGCGGCAATCCACCTGTCACTCAAGTGGCCACGCCCTTTTATGCAGAACTTTAAGGCTTAATATAATTTAAACGGACGAGTTATAAAAAAAATTCACCCCCCTCACAGTTGTCATGCTTCAAACATTGTTATATGCTTAAACTGTTTTAGTATATCTATAGATTTTATTTTAGGCAAGTCGTGATGATTTGAGAAGGCTAAATTGATCAAACACAGGCTATGATCAGCTCACTGTCTGCCGCTGGCCACTTGGTCATTACTTTAAAAAACAAAGACTTATATTTAACGACCAAAAAATGCTCCAAACATTTCTCTAAATTAACTTAATAAAAAACAGAAACAAAATATAATCATTTTGCCATTACATACAAAACTGAACTATTTTAATAGCTGAAACAGTAGTATAAGCCGTTTTAGGAGAAAGGGGAAAAAAAGATGGCTCGGGTCGGGAATTCTGATACCTTTCGGACACGGGCCGGGCTAGGGTCTAAATTTGAGGCCCGTGCAGGGCTCTAAGCCAGTCAACATGAGCGTTGATCTGGGCTGCGTTTCCCAAAAGCATCCTAACTTAAGTAGTACTTGAAAATCTTCGTAGATCTACGAGTGCACTGGAGTAATCGTAAAGCCCTACGTGCATCTTAAGAAGACAGTATTATAAGGTCACCTGCAGGACAGTCGGCAGATTACACCTTTAGTATCGTGTTTCGTGTCATGGTTTTATTTGTCTTGATGTTTCAAAATGACTCACTTGTGTGATTTGTCTATGCACTCCGGCGCGAACTGCTGTGCACTCATAGAAATGCACGAATGTTTTTATAATATATATTATAATTTGTTTCTCGGCAAACCTTACCGTATGCCTTAAGAACACTTGGAATACGGAACGAGTTGCATGGGATAATTTTATGACATTTGAATCCTTTTTGTAAAAAGATTGAAGAAGGTTACAATTCATTAAATGGACAAGTGCAAGCTTTTTTTTTAATTAAATTAAAATCAGACAATATGTAATATAAATAATATTTTTGTGTTAACATGCAAAAAAAAAAACCGAGTGGCTATTAATGTTAATTAAGTTATAAATGAGTTACAATATGCTTTAGATGAAAACATTTATGTTATGAATTTTAAATATAAAACCTGTGGCCATAAATAAAATTTAAATATTAGATAAAGAACTTTAATGAAATGTAGAAATGTTGCCTTGTTTTATGCTGAAGTGCTAAACTGAAATAAAAATACATATAAAAAAAGCTAAATGGATACATTTGGGGGGGGGGG